AAATTACAGGCTTGAGCCACCGCGCCCGGCCTTGAAAAGTCTTTCGATTGGGTATGCATTCTCCAGTTTGCCACAGCCTACTGGACTTCCCTCTTATATCAGACAACTTCTCTACTTTGTAGTTCCTACTCAGCCCTGAAGACTTCTAAGTTTGAGACCCCTGATTTAGATCTGTAATTAGAAAAAGCTTCTGAATTTCATGATTTGCTAATGTAATTACTATTGTCATTTTAGCATGTGCATTTTAGATTCCATTTTTGTATTTTTGTAATGTGGTGCTTTCTCTCATAAAGATAATTGAATTGTTAACACAGTAATTGAAATTTTAAAAATCATTTTCAAATCTTGTATTATATTTCACAATAAAAGTATATTTTAAAAGCTAATCATTTGTGCTTTTTTTAAGAGGTATTATTGTAAATACAGTAGACACATGTCACGTTTGATTAATGTACCCAAACTTCAACTGAGTGTGTATGTTCCCTCTTTGTTATTATGCCCTAAACAAGGTAAGACAGAAATAAGCAAGGGAGGCAGAACAGTATCAGTATCTCTATAAAAATAACCAAAATTTTCCCCAAAGTTGTGTGATCTGAGGGAAATAAACATTCTTACAGACCATAGTTATCTCAGTGTTGCTGAATGTTGAATGTGATTACATTTATACTCATGAATAAATATACTGCAAACAAAATCTAGAGATTTAGTTAGACTGGGAATGGGAGTCTTAGAGTCTCCTGTATGTTAATAATAGTAACTGCATGTGGAAATGTGAGGAAAGATTATAGTAGATTAGACAAAGGGGAAAAAGGTCATTTGGCCACTTTGCAGTAAAATAGCCTAATTCTAGGAATATTCTTATAGAAAAAATCCTAGGAAACCAATGACTGTATGAATTATAAGCCAGGAATTAAATGGGCCAGCACCTTGGTGGACTCCCCAGCTCCAGAACTGTGAGAAATAAATATCTGTTGTCTAAGCCACCAAATTAAGGTATTATTTTATAGTAGCCCAAACAGACTGAGGTAACAGGTCATGTGAGCAACCATTAAATAAGAGTATAAAACAGCACTGTCCAATATAACTTTATACAGTGACAGAAAGGTACTCCATCTACTCTAC